TCAGCTGTGAGAAGCGCCGGGATGAAAACAAACCTTGATTCCATTAGCTTCTAATGCTAATTAAACATCTCCATCGTGTTTGCTCCCTTGTCACCTGGCGAACCGTCCCCTTTCTGTTAAGTTTGGCCCCAGTTAAGTTTGGGTCCTGCCCAAAGTCTCAATTTCTGCACCTCTGATTGAATGAAAGACACCCCCCCCCAAACCTGCCCATTCAAAAATGCAGGCCATAAATTTCACAGAAAAACAAAGAAAAAGAAAGAAACCACATTTATAAATGTTCTCAGTATACGCCCATATAACTTTGAAATTCCATTCCATATTCCATTCCATTCCATTCTATTATGTTCTAGAATATTCCATTCCATATTCTCTTCTCTTATACAATAGAATAGAATATTCTAGAATATTGTATTCTATTCCATATTCCATTCCATATTCTGTTCTGTTCTATTCTATTCTATTCTATTCTATTCTATTCTATTCTATTCTATTCTATAATTCTATTCTATTCTATTTTATTCTATTCCATTCCATATTTTCTCTTCTCTTCCCTTCCATTCCATTCAATTCCATTCCATTCCATTCTATTCCATTCCATTCCATTCCATATTTTCTATTCTATTCTATTCTATTCCATTCCATATTTTCTCTTCTCTTCTCTTCCATCCCATCCCATCCCATTCCATTCCATTCCATTCTATTCTATTCTATTCTATTCTATAATTCAATTCAATTCTATTCCATTCCATATTTTCTCTTCTCTTCTCTCTTCTCTCTTCCCTCCCCTCCCCTCCTCTCCCCTCCCCTCCCCTCCCCTCCCATTCTATTCTATTCTATTCTATTCTATTCTATTCCAATTTCTATTCTATTCTATTCTATTCTATTCTATTCTATTCTATTCTATTCTATTCTATTCTATTCTATTCCATATTTTCTCTTCTCTTCTCTTCTCTTCTCTTCTCTTCTCTTCTCTTCTCTTCTCTTCTCTGTTCTAGAATATTCTATTCTGTTATTCTACTATTCTGAGCATTAAACAAATGATTATTTTACATGGGACTCTTATTTGCGTATACTATCTTTTTCCACCTTTGCTTGCCTTTTCCTCCTCTAGAACGAGCGATTACAGACTCTCCTGGCAGACAATGAAAAGATGAATTTGTCCGAGATTGAACCCATCCCTCTGCCCCTCGAACCTCAGGTGAAAATTAGAGGAATCATCCCCGAGAAGGCGACTCTGTTCAAGGTAACAGTGCAGTCAGTATGATTTGGGTGATGTAAACATATCAATCTCTGTGTCGATTCTCCCTCATCCAGGTCACGGTTGCCCCAAAGGTGCCTTTTCAAAAAGTCAGTGAACTTTTTTTTGTTTTCCCTTGAAGACATTTCACTTCTCATCCAAGAAGCTTCTTCGGTTCTGACTTAACGGCGCAGGATGGAAGGATTTATATTCCTTTCCATCATCTGGTTGTTGGTACTCCCTCTGAGAGCCCTTGAGGTCACCTGGAGGTTTATCTGTGCCCTCAAGGTCATCCGAATAGTGCAAACGGGTGTTTTCTTGGAACTGCTGACAGGACTGTGTTGTAAACAGGGGATAGGTGGTGTCGTATTCCTCCCCCTCTGCAAGGAATATAAATCCTTTCACCTTCCACCATTCAGTCAGAACTGAAGAAGCTTCTTGGATGAGAAGCGAAACATCTTCAAAGAAAAACAAGGAAGTCCAGTTGCCTCTTGAAAAAGCACCTTTGGGATAATTATGACCTGGATGACTGAGAATCTCCCTAGACCAGAGGTAGGCAACCTTGACTCTTTTATGACTCGTGGACTTCAACTCCCAGAATTCCTGAGCCAACCATGCTGAGGGGAAAGGGAGAGGTTTCCAAGCTCAGCCATGCTGGCTCAGGAATTCTGGTAGTCGAAGTCCACGAGTCATGAAGGGGCCAAAGTTTCCCTCATGCTGGCTCAGGAATTCTGGGAGTTGAACTCCACAAGTCATGAAGGGACCAAAGTTTCCCTCATGCTGGCTCAGGAATTCTGGGAGTTGAAGTCCACAAGTCATGAAGGGGCCAAAGTTTCCCTCATG